TCAAAATCACATTTCAGTACAATTAGAATACCACCACAGAAACCCTGTCTTGAAAAATAAAAACAAGAACAACAACAATACACACACACACAAACACATACAATAAAACAAAAAAACCAAAAAATCCCTAAGGTTTAGACAATATATGGAATTTACTAATGTCATTCAGATAATAAAATATAGATCTGGGAATAGGATTTATTATTATTTTTTTACTTATTTAAAAGCTCCATGGTTTTACCCATTACACTAAATTACTTATAATAGTCTTTGCTTTGTAAATGCAAATTTTTAGATATCTATTTCTTTTCTAATTTATTTTTATTTTTTGAGACTATAATATAATTACATCATTTCCCCCTTCCCTCTATTCCTTTCAAACCCTCTCATACACAGACCCACTTTGCTCTCTTTCAAATTCATGACCTCTTTTCCTTTAATTGTTGTTACATATATGTGTATATAAACATATATTCCTAAATCCATAAATACGACATGATCAGTCTGTGTGATGTTACTTGTATGTTATGGTTTCAGAGTTAATCTTTAGCATCAGGTAATTCATTCGTGTGCTCTGCCCCAAGGATGACTAATTCTCCCCCACTCAGCATTCCACAGTTGCCTGTAGTTCCTTGTGTAGAGATGAAGCCTCATGAGCTTTTCCCCTCCCACTAGCACAGCTAATGATGTCTTCCTTCAGGTCCTCAGGCTTCCATGCTGATGAGATTTCATGCATGCAGCTTCTCTCATATTTCTAGAAGACACACTCTCACAGTACCTTTCCTGGCCCTCTGGCTCTTAAGATCTTGCTCCTTCTTCATGTCCCCTGGGTTTTGAATGCAAGAGCTGTGTTTTAAGTGTTTCATTTGGGATGGGGCTCAAAAGGTGGACAACTCTGCATTTTGATTGGGTTGTGATTTTCTGCAATGGTCACTGTCTATCACAAGGAGAAGTTTTCTTGATAAGGAGTGAGGACTATACTCATCTGTGGGCATATGGACAACTGTTTAGAATGTAGTTAAGGATTATTGTCCTGGTTTAGTATAGCAGCAGTTGCAGGGTCTCTTCCAAGATCCATCAGTTCACTAGCCCTGGGTAGGTTGCTAGGTTTCCAGCACCACATGTGATTTTCATCTTGATGAGCCTGTCTTAAGCTCAATTAAAGTACTGTTGGTTACTACCTAGGTATGTGTACCACTACTGTGCCTTTAGGGAAATCCTGCCATAATGGTTGTTGTTGTGGTTCATAGACATCATAGTTGGGTAGGTCATTGGTTATATCCTTCTCTTCGAAGCTTGCATGGTACCCTTTTATAGTACTGTGAGAGCTAGTTCTCCAGGAGGAGGCTTTTAGATCCAGCCCACTGTCAAAAGTACATGTTGAGACCAGTTGTTTGAAAGACTGTCTTCTGCCACATTGATTCTGTTTACAATTGATTGTATATCATAAAATATCATTACCTCCATATTACTAATTAAGTAATCAGAATTTAACTTGGAATACAGTCTGCCTTCATTATGGATTCTGTCTGCTAATTAGCCCATTTGCTAGCATTTACTTGTAACTTCAAAAAGCACATTCTTGACATCCACACTTTTATAATCATTTGTGGACATGCTCAGTATGTCAAAAACATTTGATCATAAAAATATATATGCACCCAGTATGTATGTGACTGACCATGATGGAAGAGATTTTTCACTGATGCTTTGTTTTCTCCCTCTCTTAGACTGCCAGGTGGCCCTTCTGCTTCTCTGGTCTGTTAGTACAGGTTGAGTGACTCTTACCAGAATCTTCAAATTCTGTGGGATTTGGTAATATTTGGATAGATGTCACTGCTTGAGCATCCCTAATCTAAACATCTGAATGCTTCAGTATCTGTTGCTTTTTGGAATGCCATGTCAATGCTTAAAATATTTTAGCTTTATATTTTTGCATTAGTAATCCCCAAATATGTGCTATATCCCCTCACTGTGTTTCTGTTGTCAACGAGTTTTGTGATATATAATATTAGTCCCTCATGCAGAATATTATGATGATATGTAGGTGGATTTTTCTGTCCCACCTGTCAGCTCCCAAATAACTGACATGGAGACTTCTTATTAATTATAAATGAACGGTCAATAGCATAGGCTAGTTACTAGCTAACTCTTACATTTTAAATTAACCCGTATTTCTTATCTATCCTCTGCCACATGGTGGTACCTTCTTTCAACATAGCACGCTCATCTTGCTTCTCTCTGTATCTGCTCAAGACGCTCCAGACTCTGCCCCTCTTCTTCCAGCATCCTCTCAGCTTGGCTCTCCTGTCCATATTCTACTTGTCCAGGTATTGGCCACTCAGCTTTTTCATTAACCAATGAGAATAATACACATTTGCAGTGTACAAAGTTTGTCCCACAGCAATGGTGTCTCGTGTTTGTGATGTGCCTTAGAGAGAAAATAGATACACCATATAAATTTTATTCAGTCATGAGCTACAGCTCTTTTGTGTGTGAACTCAAGGTTAATGAAGAGTTGTCAAGAGTGAAGCTTTGTCTCTGAATTTGAGTGATCGTGTGGTGCTCTTTCTTTAGTCAATTTTACTGATGGAGGCTGAAGACAGGCTCAACTGCCTGGTGTCTGAGATGGAGCATCAATGTCACAAGCCCCTCTGTCAGTGCTCTGTTGGGGAGCTGGAGACCATGGTGGAGGCCAGACTTCAGCTGGCAGCAATTGCCCTACAGAGACACCGGGCAGCATATGGGTGAGTCTCCTGGAAGAAGAGGAATACCACCTCACCCCCTCATCCCTTCATCCCCTCATCCCTTCATCCCCTCATCCCTTCATCCCCTCATCCCTTCATCCCTCTCGCTCCTTCATCCTCTCACCCCTCACCGCCTCCTCCCCTCATTCCTCATCCTCTCACTCCCTCACCCCCTTATCCCCTCATCCTCTCACTCCCTCATCCTCTCACCCCTCATCCTTTCACTCCTCCCTCCCACATCCCCCACACTCCACTTACCCACTTAACTCCTCCCCTTCTTCACCCCCTCAACCCCTTCCCCCCTTCTTCCCTTTGTCCCCTCACCCCTCACTCTCCTTACCCACTTACCCCAAAAGTCCCAGTTCCCTGTCGTTTGGTGGCAGTGGGAAGTTGTTTATTCTCATTTGTTGAATATTCACATTTTATAAGTTTTGGAGAGTCCTAGATCTATAGGGGTGTACTTATTTTTAATTATTCACAGGGTCTTAAAATTAATTTTTACATAGAACACATCAGTTTTCCATAAAGAAATTCCTTTATTAAACATACTAGGTAGGATGTTTAATATCATATATAAAATGAACAAATTAATGGTGCTTGACTTTTGTTTATTTTTTAACAAGAAATTCAATTTTTATAGTTTTTTAAACACATAAAGGCTTTGGAGTATTGTTTTTTTCTTAAGCACCAAATAAAAATATGAAAAGAGGCTTAAGAGATTGTTCAGCAGTTAAGAATATTCTTCCAGAACATCCAGATGGGGTGACTACCTGTAATCCAGCTCTGGAGAATCCAGTGCCCTCTTATGGCCTCTTCAGGCTTCTTCAGCCACTGCTGTACGTCACACACACACACACACACACACACACACACACACACACACACACACACACAAAATTAAAAAGACAAAGAAGATCTGGGTTTTAAAAAGTAGCATCATCTGACCTGTTGAAGGCTGGACTGTGTGAGACCCTGTTGAGGGCTGGACTGTGAGACCCTGTTGAGGAGGGCTGGACTATGTGTGACCCTGTTGAGGGCTGGACTGTGTGAGACCCTGTTGAGGGCTGGACTATGTGAGACCCTGTTGAGGGCTGGACTGTGTGAGACCCTGTTGAGGGCTGGACTGTGTGAGACCCTGTTGAGGGCTGGACTGTGTGAGACCCTGTT